GCTTTGATGCCACCCGGCAATATAATCATGGGATTTATGCAATTTATTCCAGTTTAAGTCTTCAGGGTGATATTAAAAATAAACGTGTGTCATACCATGCGAAATTATGAATTGTGTTTAGATATAAGCGTTCCTCCGGCTCACGGGCTGGAAATTAGTGTGATATTTTCATTCATTTTGGGCTTGAATATGCAATCAGTTTGCATGCGTATATAATATGAAGCGTAACTGACCTCATAGAAGTGGAACTTCAGGCAAACACAGCCCATGTTAACTTTAGCTACATGATAGTATGCCATCAATTAGGTCAGTGTTTTCTTAGGCATATTGATTTTAGGTTCCACCGCAATGACTCCTAATAATGGCCAAAGAAGCAAACATGAGCCGTAAATATTTAAGCTTAAAAAATCTGATGGGTAACGCCCGACTATTTCAAAGGTTTGTTTTGAATACCGAATCCATCTAACGTAATTAATTATCAAACCTTTTACATTCAGTTTATTCAAAATTGCTGAAAAAGATGGGGCTTTCAGCACCATCCAGTTTACAACAATCGCTATTCAAACTCTTCGGACTACCGTTCATTATCTGAGGCTGGTTACTAAATAGGTCGCACAAAGATTAAAGCAAGAAATCGATTTGGTGCGTTATCTGGTTCGCAACAGATAAAAATAGAGTTTGCATGCGAACTGTTTGGGTATAATATCGCGTAAAAGCTAATGAATTTGCGTTGACAATCGTTAAACTAATTAATTGAACTGATCATGTTAAAAATTACCGTTTCTGTGGATCTCCTAGGCCCTAAAACTGCCTAAAAAGTATTCATTTTCATTAAGGTTCATGTTTTGATATATGTAAATATAATCGATGGAGATAAGTGTTTGTGTAGAATTAACAATCAAACGTTGTCTATTTCCCTGGATCCTTTACCCTATTTACCTAAGTAATTTAATCTTAACTGCTTATCCCTAACCGACTTTGCTCTCGACCCTTTCTGTTTGCCAGGGCCAACTTTAGGTGTAATCAAAATGTGTAGCGTGAAAAGGGTTAAACCAAATCCCCTGTATTGGCATACTTTCCCGGATATTTTCTGATAGAAACTGGAATCCATAATGTGTGCTGATGTTTATTCACTGAAAACTCCACAGCTTTGCACCATAATTGCTGACGTTTACAACATGCATCAAAATCCGGAAAGTTTCGGAAGTCTACTTTACACTTTGCTGTTAATAAACAAAATCTGCTCAATTAACTGTAGTTTGAAGCCTAGGATAGTTGATTTCTCAACAACCAGCTATTGGGATAAAAGTGCTTAAGACTAAATAAATCTGAAAATCGGATGAGACTGTTTTGTGCCACAACAAGCCGAACAGTGTGTTCGCACTTTCTTTACCCGAAATTTGCAGGGAATTATTAACGAGCAAGATATTCAATTAAATGAGAATAAATAAGACCAGTTTAAGGTAAATATCCAATTTGCATAGCTGATTTATGGACAGCGATATATATGGTGTTGTGCATTTGAATAAACATGAGATAGCGGTAAATAAGTCATTGGGGTTTGAAATAATACCGAGCAGTGTCTGGTTTTGCGGCAATTCATGAATAGCAAATGCCGTTTCTCATAAGATAAGATTTATACATGTAGCATTAAGGTAGTGTGGGCTTAAACACTTTGGAATTGAAATAATCTGATTATAAATGTGTGCGATTTAAAGTTGCGTTGAAAAGCCACGTTTACACAAACTGAAGAGCGAGGGGTTCAGTTAAATAATGTTTATTTGCAATTCAAGTGTAAAATTTTAGATGAAAAAAGGAACAAAACAAGATATTGTTTATTCGACCACTGTTACAATTTTAATAATTAAATTGAAAGTTAAAAAAAAAAAAAAGACTGACTGTAGATTATATGGCACTCAATTCTTTTGACTTCTGACCAAACATCTAATGACTGTATAGTATACTGTATACTTCTTGTATAGCTAAATCATGCTGATCATAGCAGAAACGATACTACGTCTTATTTTAAAATAATATTCGGCATAAGTGATCATATAATTTTACGTGACCTTATTTTCGAGTTTATAAAAAGTTGGATTACAAACCTGTGTTTTTTTTGCTTGATATCCGCCTTATAAACAACTTTAATTAACGTCGAATGGAGGCTCTTTATTGACGTCAAATAATCATTTTGTATGCGTTTTTTCCGATTTCCAGACGAACGGTATTTACCTCCATTTTGTAAGTGATTTGATTTTGAATTTTAAATTTTTTCGTCCCACTAACCAAACTAAATCTAATACGTTCTCTTTCGCTACATCAAATCGGAATATTCCATAGAAAATTAATTCTTGCGTTTTTTCAAAACTATTGCTGGCAGACAAAGGTTAAAATGCTTTTATTTCTCCTTCAATCAAGGGGACAAACGGTGGGCGAAAAGAAAATTACACTGTACTTCGAGCTACAAGGAATATGATAATATAATGCACATTCGAGTAGTTTTATATAACGAAGAAAAAGGGCCTTAAAAGTTATTTAAAGTAATGAAACAATACATTATAGAGACGAATACCCTCTAAGTCATACTGAAAATTATCCGCTAAATGAAAGAGATCCTTAGATCAGAAAAAACCAGCGTATTTTCACATTGATATTTCATTTTTCATCTCCATTTTCTTTCAGTTCTTCGTGTGTTTAAAATCGTTTCAGAAACTGGCATTTTTTTTGTAAAACTCCTTCGGTTTTTATATTAATTCAAATTCATAGTTTACATAAACTGTATCGGTTCTACAATAGCTGACATTTTCTTCTTTATAAGAAAGATTTTCGTTTTTTGTTTCGTGATGGACATACGAACAATCGACCGATTTGCATTCCCAAGAAGAAATACACCAAATCGCCTAGGACGAAAAAGCCGTGTCAATTTTATTTCTAAACTGCTCAACAAAATAGATGTTACACGAACAAATTTCGACTGAATTTGGAATTCGATCAATTCGGATTGCTGCAAGCGAATTTATTTCTCTTTGAAGCTTCATTTAACCCACCTGTTTTTGAAAAAAAAAAT